AAACAAATTCAAAAGCTAGCAGAAGAAAGAAATAACTTAGAGCAGAATTGAAGGAGATAGAGTCACAACAAAAAAACTCTAAAAAAAATCAATGAATCCAGGAGCTGTTTTTTTTTTTAAAGATCAACAAAACAGACTGCTAGCCAGACTAATGAAGAAGAAAAGAGAGAAGAATGAAATGGATGCAATAAAAAATGATAAAGGGGATATCATCACTGATCCCACAGAAATACAAACTACCATCAGAGAATACTATAAACAGCTATAAGCAAACAAACTAGAAAATCTAGAAAAAATGGATAAATTCCTGGACACATGCACCCTCCCAAGTCTAAACCAGGAAGACGTCAAATCCCTGAATAGACCAGTCACAAGTTCTGAAATTGAGGCAGTAACTAATAGCCTACCAACCAAAAGAAGTCCAGGACCAGATGGATTTTACAGCTGAATTCTACCAAAGGTACAAAGAGTAGCTGGTACCATTCCCTCTGAAACTACTCCAAGCAATAGAAAAAGAGGGAATCCTCCCTAACTCATTTTATGAAGCCAGTATCATCCTGGTACCAAAACCTGGCAGAGACACAACAACAACAACAACAAATTTCAGACCAATATTTCTGATGAATATTGATGAGAAAATCATCAATAAAATTCTAGCAAAAAAACCTTATCCACCACAATCTAGTCAACTTCATCTCTGGGATGCAGTGGTTGTTCACCATACTCGAATCAGTACACGCAATCCATCACGTAAACAGAACCAATGACAAAAAACGCATGATTATCTCAATAGATGCAGAAAAGGCCTTCCATAAAATTCAACCACCCTTTATGCTAAAAAATCTCAAGAAACTAGGTATTGATGGAACATATTTCAAAATAATAAAAGCTGTTTATAACAAACCTACAGCCAATATCATACTGAAAGGACAAAACCTGGAGCATTCCCTTTGAAAACCAGCACTAGACAAGGATGCCCTCTCTCACCACTCCTATTCAACATAGTATTGGAAGTTCTGGCCAAGGCAATCAGGCAAGAGAAAGAAATAAAGGTATTCAAATAGAAAAAGCAGGAGTCAAATTGTCTCTGTTTACAGATGAAAAGATTGCATATTTAGAAAACCCCATTGTCTCACCACAAAATCCCCTTAAGCAGATAATCAACTTCAGCAAAGTCTCAGGATACAAAATCAATGTGCAAAAATCATAAGCATTCCTATTCCTCAATAATAGACAAACAGCCAAATCGTGAGTGAATTCCCATTCACAATTGCTACAAAGAGAATAAAATACCTAGGAATACAACTTACAAGGGATGTGAAGAACCTCTTCAAGGAGAACTACAAACTACTGCTCAAGGAAATAAGAGAGGATAAAACAAATGGAAAAACATTCTACGCTTATGGATAGTAAGAATCAATATCATGAAAATGACAGTGCTGCCCAAAGTAATTTATAGATTCAATGCTATCCCAGCCGAGCTACCATTGTCTTTCTTCATATATTTGGAAAAAAACTTCTTTAAATTTCATATGGATCCAAAAAGATCCCACATAGCCAAGAAAATCTAAGCAAAACAAACAAAAAACAAAACAAACCAATAATAACAACAAAACAAAGCTGAAGGCATCACCCTACCTGACTTCAAACTATACTACAAAGCTACCATAACCAAAACAGCATGGTACTGGTACCAAAACAGATATATAGAACAATGGAACAGAACAGAGGCCTCAGAAATAACACCACACACCTTTAACCATCTGATCCTTGACAAACCTGATAAAACCAGCAATGAAAAAGATTTACTATTTAATAAATGGTGTTGGAAATACTGGCTAGCCATCTGCAGAAAACTGAAATGATACCTTCCTTACACCTTATTCAAAAATTAACTTATGCTGGATTAAAGACTTAAACATAAGACCTAAAATTATAAAAACCCTAGAAGAAAACCTAGGCAATACCATTCAGAACATAGGCATAGTCAAAGACTTAATGACTAAAACACCAAAAGCAATGGCAACAAAAGCCAAAATTGACAAATAGGACCTAATTAAACTAAAGAGCTTCTGCACAGCAAAAGAAACTATCATCAAACTGAACATGCAACCTACAGAAAGGGAGAACATTTTTGCAAGCTATCCATCTGACAAAGGGCTAATATCGAAAATCTACAAAGAACCTCAACAAATTTACAAGAAAAAAGCAAACAATCCTATCAAACAGTGGGCAAGACACTTCTCAAAAGAAGACATTTATGCAGCCAACAAACAGATGAAAAAAGCTCATTGTCACTGGTCACTAGAGAAATGCAAATCAAACCATAATGAGATATTGTCTCACACCAGTTAGAATGGCTATCATTAAAAAGTCAAAAAGCAACAGTTGCTGGAGAGAATGTGGAGAAATAGGAATGCTTTTACACTGTTGGTGGGAGTGTAAATTAGTTCAACCATTGTGGAAGACATTGTGGAGATTCCTCAAGGATCTAGAACTAGAAATACCATTTGACCCAGCAATCCTATTATTGAGTAAATAACCAAAGAATTATAAATTATTTTACTATAAAGACACATGCACACATGTGTTTATTGCAGCACTATTCGCAATAGCAAAGACTTGGAACCAACCCAAATGCCCATCAATGATAGACTGGATAAAGAAAATTTGGCACATATACACCGTGGAATGCTATGCAGCCATAAAAAAGGATGAGTTCATGTCCTTTGCAGGGACATGGATGAGGCTGGAAACCATCATTTTCAGCAAACTAACACAAGAACAGAAAACCAAACACTGCATAGTTTAAGTGGGAATTGAACAATGAGAACACATAGACACAAGAAGGGGAACATCACACACTGGGACCTGTCAGGGGGTGGGGGGCAAGGGGAGAGATAGCACTAGAAGAAATACCTAATGAAGATAATGTGTTGATGGGTACAGCAAACCACCATGGCACATGTATACATATGTAACAAACCTGCATGTTCTGCACATGTACCCCAGAGCTTAAAGTATAATTAAATGAATAAATAAATAAATAAAAGGGACACTTTTACCAATTCTTTAGAAAGAATGTTTCCCCACAATATATTTTATTGGAAAATACCCAAATAAATATTTAATATTTGATTTAATATAACTTTAGATTCTAAATTATGACAAGTTTGAGTTTTGATCCCATTACATTTACCTAATTAATTTGTTTACTTAGATTATTTATGAAAACTGTGATAGCCATTATTTAAGGTTATGAAACTGCCATTGCAAAATTAACTGAAACAGTGAAAAAGTTCTGACCTAACTGACTTCATCTTGCTTCTAATCTCTAAGAAGTTCTTGTTCATTAACATAGTTTATATTTGGCTTTGAAACAAAGATGATAACAGTCATTTCCCAGAACAAACCTCCTTCATGCCTGTGGACTAGACTGTCAAAAGATTAGAAGTTATGGCATTTTACTAAATAATTTCAGTTGTAGCTATGTTTATTAGACCAATATTAATGTTTTATCTAATAAAAATTACACAAGCAAAAATTATTCTGTTTGGGGCTGAGTTTATGGTTTATAACTTCTATGCCAAATATTGACACCTTTAGTATTTGGTATAGATAAGCCTGAAGTTTCTTGACCAATAAATGCAAACAAAAATGTATGCTGGTAGTTCTTCAAACATTTCTATTATTACTTTACCAATACTTTTAAAGTCAGCTTATTTATTAAAAATTTTACTTAAGTCACATAAACTTGAAAAAGCATTTGACTAGTCTTTTTTCTGTTAAATTATTTGATTTAAGAAGTTTTAATTTTCCTTAAGCCAATTAATTAGAGCATTTTTATAGTATCAGTAGTGAAACATTGTGTACACAACACATAAATACATAGACATATTAGGCATGCTAATAGAAGTACATTTTATAGATTCTTAAGACCTCCTTTTTCTTATTTTAGCCTCGCAAACTCTTGATAACCTGGTTTATTACCTAAAGTTTTCAGCTAAATCATTCTAAATCTGCATATTGAAGAAAACAACTCGTAGGTGAAAAATCAGATGTCAAGATTTACATCTCAAGATACGGACAAAAAGCCTGCTGGTGCTAGAGGAAAATTAAAGGTGGATGCCAGATCAAACATAAAATCATAGAAATCTGTTATCAGACTGTATAAGGAGACCACTTTTATTTAGACAGAGGCTGCCTATCTTTTAACTCTGGGCAGAGCCCACACTGAATCTTGGGTTTTCAACAACAAAAAAATGAATTACTATGAGACTAGACCATGTGATGCTTTTACAGGGTACTACATTTTTTTTTTCCAACAAAGACTTTTCTAAGTGTCTAAATGACAACTGTTTAAAAAACAAATCCAAGAGTAACCTCTGTTGCAACAGCTATTAATTAAGAAAACATAATTTAGACAACTGAGAAGAAAAAACTCTTGCTCAAAAAAGACAAGGTCCCAGGAGAGAAAAAAACAAAAACATGAAGGCCTTTTAATACAAACACACACGTGCACACATACATACACACACCTTAGATGCTAGCTTTTAATTAAGCTGACTTTTAACCATTGGGCTCCTTTAAAAAATTCTCTTTCCTTCACAGAGGGCTCCCAGCAGGGATGGACCTGATACCTCCCATATTCAAGTTTACAAGGTATTAAAAGCAAAAAGGCAGATACACAAAGTGGAGACATTTTGGACAAACACACGGAGGAGAGCATTCAGGCAGAACAAACTCAAAACCAACTCAAAACCTGATCTTATCCAAAATGCAAAGTGTGTGTATGAGCAAGCCTTATTGCTCCCCTGGCAGTACCAGACAAATGTCTTAACAAGCCCATACAGAAAAGCAATAGGCTGCTGGCATAAAATCCAGTTAACTCACTCTTTGAGTCTATCCACTCCTGATCTCCATTCTTCCCATATAGTGGGACGGACATGCAATTTTGCACATAGGACAACCCTCAGGAGGAATTCCTGAGAAAATCTCACCCAGAAGCTGCTCAGAACCTCCTGAAGATTGTTTCATCACATGCTGCTGAATGTTGAAGACAGCACCATCCTGGTGGCTCCTGGCTGGCTCACCAAATTTGTTCCCAGACCAAACCAAGTGTCAGACTGCTTATTCTTGCAGCTGAATAATGAGATGCAGATGAACTGGGGAGGGAGAGAGTTTTTATTTTTGTAACTGGTTATAAAGAGAAGGCCTAAGAAATATCAAATTCAAAATTACAAAGTTTTTTTTCAGAGCTTACATACCTTCTTAACTATATGTCTATGTGTAAGTGTGCATTTATCTAAAGACATATGCAATTAACTTATTTTAATCTGTAACTAGGATCTGAGTTTGAAGACCTTCTTCTGGAGCTTCTGTAAATTTACTTAATCTAAATGGGTCCAGGTTCTGGGGTGATTACCCTTATCTTGTCTCCTGTTAAATCATGGAGGTTTGGGAAGTGTCTTCAGACTCCCCAGTAAACATGTTTGTGGTGGCATGGAGAGTTTCTTCAAACTCCCAATAAAACTTGTTTAATCCTAAATGAGTCCTGATAAGAACTCCTTCATTATCTTGTCATGCTTTGCCAGAAAGGCCTAGGCAAAACTCTTGGGGGGCTTTTGTTCCATTCCAGTCTTTATATAAAGGCACTGGCTCTATCAGTTTCTAATATTTAATGTAACTATTCAGTCAGTACTGAAACAGTTGTTATGGAGGCCTGTGTTAGTGAGATCTGGCCTGCCACACCACTGTATCACCACAGTCCAGGCCACCATCCTATCTTATCTGAATATTGCAATAGCATCAGACCTGGTCTCCCTAGTTCCAGTCTTATCACTACCTTCCCCATCCCAATTTATTCTCATAAATGTTAAGGTCTCAGAACCTAGAGGTAGACTGCCCAGGTTCAAATCCTGACACCATTTTTTACTCTCTGATGTCCTTGGGTAAATTGCATAATCTGTGTCTCAGTTTTTATATAGATAAAATGAGATAATGGTAACATCTACCTTGATTATTCTGAGGAGGAAATAACTAAGCACATGTAAATTACTTTAGAATAGTACTTGGTGCTTACTGAGAATACAATAAATATTTAGCTGTCATTATATTTCAGGTAGCTTTCAGAATAATCTAATACTTAACTATTTCATTTTCCACCTTAAATCCTTTCAGTGGGTTCCCATGGCCTTAAGTAAAGTCTGAATTTCTTAACTGGGCCTACCAAGCTCTCATGGTCTGACTTTCACCCTATATGTGTTCTTAGCACCCATCCTTCTCACTGACACTTGAAGCTCCAGCCACGCTAAAGAACTCCCACAATCCAGTTAGCTCAGGCCATTTTATGCTCTGTTTATGCATTTTTCCACCGTATAGAATGCCCTTTCCCACCTTGTCCACCTAGAGATACTTTCTGACGTTTTAAGATACAGCTCCCCTAGACCCTAAGCCACATGAAGGCAGGGCCATGTTGATTTTGTTCAAGTCCACAACTCCAGTGCTCAGGGCAATGCATGGCACATGGTCAGTTCACAATAAATATTCACTCAGTAAATGAATGAATGAATAAAAGCATCTCCTGAGCTATAAAACTTTTCCCACATTTTCTCCTCACCTGCATCCCCGCTAGCCTGGACAGATTGCGTTACTCTCTTTTGTCTGGCATGGATGTCAGCATCACTACCTTAAGAGTACTTAAGTGACCCTTGTCTCCCCAGCGCATCGAGCTCCCAGCGTGTGCCCAGCACAGGGTCTGGGACACAGTCAATATTCATCCATGTTTACTAACTGGGCACATGAGCAAATCAGAGAGCCATAAATCTCTAGAATCCCACACTGGTGGGCTGCAATGCTATCCTGGGATATAGCTCCACAAACTTTTAGATTTTTGTCCCCATGGTTCCATGTTCTTCAAATGCATTTATTATTAAGTAATCATATACTTCTACATTTTAATGGATCAAAGATACATGTTGCCATACTGAATTATTATAATTTCAGTCAAAGGTTAGTTACCTTGCACTGCCCTGTTTGTAGACAAATGTATGGTTTTCTTTGGGGTGTGTGTAGGATTGAAGCAGCTTCTCAATGGCCTTCATTTCTTGTCTCCTGTGTCTGACATGGAAGAAGCCATCAGATGAGCACTGGGAGAGGCACAGTCCTCCTTCCGGGAATCTCACGGGGCTTATTTTCATCTAGAGGTACCACTATCCATGTTGATGGAATATTTTTTGGTATCTCTGATTCCCTATACTGTAGCCAAGAAAATTCAATTCAGTGGACATTTGTGCAGGAATGCCAAAAAAAAAGGAAGGAGGCACTGCTCTCCAAATCCAAATATGATTTGGTCTCCAGAATCATATTTTTTGAGTTGTAGTAAGTTTTAAAACCAGTCTTTGGCCAGAATAATTTTCCAAATTCCTTCCTCTCCCATTTAGCATGCCCCATTGGAGTAGATTACAGAACTTCATTCTCCACCAGGGGCAGCAAAAACACAAGCAATAACAAGGATATTTTCTACCACATGGAACGGAGGTTGTGGGGAAAATCCACCTCTCACAGCCTGGTGGACTGAGGCAAAAAGTGGCAGAGGCTGGGTGGTCAAGAGAGTATCTAATTTTTCCCCTCTAGGCTAAAATCCTGGGATTGGGGTTTAGCTAGAGTGAAGGGAAAGTTGAGAGCACTGGGGATTTTACCTTGTGTCTTTTCATGGAGAAACCAGAGTGAAAATGGCAATGAATCAGAGAAGGCCTGAACTTCAAGCCTCTTTTAACCCCTTCAAGCCTCTCTAAGCTCCTAGATATAATGCAAAAAGTGTACTGGACAGGAGCAACTGGACATGGAGCAGAGGGGTAACTGCATGGAACTGTCTAAGCCTCAGAGGGAGTCACACCACCAGCAAGAACCTGGGTGGACCTAGGTGAGCCAAGGGGTTCCCAGGCCCTGACCCTGCCAAGAGAACGCACTAGAAGGTCACTAACCACACCTACTATTCCTTAGTCGCACAAAGAACCCAGGGACCAGACCAGGCAGGATATCACAACCAGCTGGGACCCCAAGGCAGAGCCTGAATCTGAGGTCTTCAGCCCTATCGCTATGTGAATATATGAGGGCCACCACCATACAACCTGCATGATTTGGGGAAGGAACAGGGCATAGAAGAATAATATGAAAAGAATAATAAATGAAATGCCATGCATTATCCAGAGAAAACTGTGTACGCCAGAGGATTCTGAGACTCGGTCAAATAACTACATCTAGTTGAGGGTTGGAGTTAGGTAGGAAGTCTGTGGAAAAAGAAGCTGTGTGGCTTAATGGAAACTGCAAGGGGCCAGGATGAGCTTGGTCCTGATGAAGTCACCACCCCTGGAGCCTGTCTTAATCACTTACTTGCCAAATAAAATGTGGCTCCAGAGAGTGCAGTGTAGGCTTAAGGAATGGGGCCAGGGCGGGGGTTGGGGGCGGTAGGTGGGAGAGGGACAGTGATAGGGAGAACAGAAAATTGTAGCAGAAATTGGGTTTACTCTTCAGGGCTGTCAATCAACACCTCACATATGCCTGTCTTAACCTAAATCAATGAATAAATGAATGAAATCTGGGAAATGTCAATAAAGATTGCTGGGGCAGGGGGGTGGGGGGAGAGAGCACCTTGGGAAGTCAGGCCTGTTAGATCCTAGTTCACCACCTGATAGGTTATAAATACTAAAACCATCACTTTCAAATTATTTTTACTACATTTTTCTGTTATCTGTGCTCGAGTTCATTTATGTCTCTGGCATCTAGGGTCAGCCCTTCAGGGGCACGGGACCTGAGTGGTCACACCAGGCTCTGAACCCAGAAGGACATATGCTCGGTTTCATGCTCTGTCATCTTAGAATTGTTAATAAAGTTTTTATCCCATATTTTCATTTTGCACTGAGATTCATAAATTACGTAGCAGGCCCTGACTATGGCTGGATAGTGGAATTAGTATCTAGTGGTAAAATTATATATATAATATATATAGTAAAACTGTGCATACCTTCCCCACTCAGTGTTCAGTGCCCTGGCATGGGCAGCTTGAACTAGCTCATGGCGGGTGTTGGTACACGCTGGGAATCAGGGTGGGAACCACTTGTAAAGCATTTACCTGCACACCATTAGACTGGCCAAAGGATAAAGGAATAATGACCGTACACCTCCCCCTATCTCTGCCCCTGGGAATTTTGGTAGAATTCCAGAATGCAAAAGAAAGCCTTTTGCGTAGTCATTTATTAATTTGTGTTAAGGAAGAAAAACAATGACCTCAGCTTTGCATTATTTTACAATATAAATTCAGATCCTGTGACTGAAAACTGTCCGCCTTAAAAGATGACGCTCCCCGAACCAAGCGTGCGCGCCTTGGTAACCCGCTAGAAATCCCGCAGGCGCGCCTGCCTTCTCTCTCCAGGCCTGAGCTGCCCCTCCCACTGGCCTTCCTGCTTCCCGCGAGGCAGGAGCTTCGCCAGGGCTCAGAGAAGGGGTGGGCTGCGCGACCCTGCGTCAGCTCCGGGCGAGAGAAAGCGCGTCCTCTCCCGCGTACCTGGAGACCGCGGGCGTTCGCGGCTGCGCAGAGCCATGGAATTCTCCTGGTTGGAGACGCGCTGGGCGCGGCCCTTTTACCTGGCCTTCGTGTTCTGCCTGGCCCTGGGGCTGCTCCAGGCCATTAAGCTCTACCTCCGGAGGCAGCGGCTGCTGCGGGACCTGCGCCCCTTCCCAACGCCCCCCACCCACTGGTTTTTTGGGCACCAGAAGGTAGATGGGAGGGAGGAGGCGGGAGGAGGCGGGAGGAGGGGGTAGGGAGGGGTAGGGAGGGGCAGAGGAGGATGCGGCAGAGGAGCCGCCGCCTGGCAGAGAGGTAGCTGCTTCCTTCCATCCCTGGGGACCCTCAGGCTTGCAGTAGCCTCTCCAGCCTGGCCTGTGGCTCTCAGCATCATTTTTCCTTGCTGTGGACACTTGCTTTCCCGCAGCCTCACAGGGAAAGGTCACTAAAGAGGAAGCTTTGGGGGCTGGGAAAGAGCTATTTCAAGAACCTGATAATATGGAAAAAAAAGTGCCGTGTAACTCAGGTCTGTCTCTCATTGTTTCACCAAGCCTTCCACATGTGTTGCTTTAAAAATAGCATGTTATTCTGAATAACTTATTAATTTTAGGAAATATGCAAAATAGGTCACAATCGTTGGCACACTTAGTCCATTTTAACCAGAGAAAGTTTTCTTTTCCTAAGATTCTTGTGAAGTAAGGAGCAGCCCCCGCCAGCCACTCAAGAAATACTGATTGATGGAAAGTTCTAAAGTAAAGGGAGACTGTTAGCTTTGGTCACTCCCACTTTTTAAATTCACTCCCACCCCTAATTGAGGTTTTTATTCATTCAGCCGACTCTGAGTGGCAGTTGGTGATGGGTACTAAGATTACAAAGAGAAGATAAGTCCCTTCCCTGTACCTCCCAAGTCAGGCGCAGACAGGCCACAAAGAAAATGATAGCACAAGGCAATGGGTGCTTTACTAGAGGCCTAGAGACAAGCGATTATCAGAGGAAAGTGTACGTCTCCGCCTAGAGGGGAAGGAAAGTCTGTGAAGGGCTGAGCATTGTCTTAAAGGATGGTTGGGTGGTGTGGGGAAGACATTCCAGCAGAGCTACTGAATTATCCTTTGGCTTCCCCACTTTCTAGTCTTTCTTACCTAACCACTTTCAACTCTTTTATCTGTTTTTTCCTGGTATTTAAATCCTTACTTGTAAAATAATATTACCATATTGCATCTAATAATTTAATAAGTTTAGACATCTGCTGTGGTTTAGATATGGTTTGCTTGTCCCCACCAAACCTCATGTTGAAATTTGATTCCCAATGTTGGAGGTGGGGTCTGATGGGAGACCTTTGAGTCATTGGGATGGATCCCTCATGAACATCTTGGTGCAACTGTCTCCTTCTTAATTTCTCAGTCTATTAGTCTCTCTTCACCCCCCAGAACTGATTGTTGAGAAGATCCTGCCACCTCCTCCCCTCTCTCTCTTCCTCTCTTCTTACCATATGACCTCTGCACACAGCCACTCCTGTTCACTTCCACCATGAGTGGAAGCAGTCTGAGGGCCTCCTCACATGCAGATGCCAGTGCCATGCTTCCTGTACAACCTGGAGAATTGTAACCCAAATAATCCTCTTTATGAATTATCATCCAGCCTCAGGTACTCCTTTCCAGCAACACAAATGTACTAAAACAACATCCATCTGTGAAGTTCTTTATGACAGGTAATCACTTACACCTCATCTTCCGCTGTCCCAACAACTACATTGTATTGTGTTTTTAGTTAAATAGAAAAACTAGTGTTTGTATTATGCAAATGTTATTTACTGCTGATCTAAATGGTCCTTTTTTATTTTATTTCTTTTCTCATAGAACTTTTCCCCCAGCCCACAGTATTGTTAACTTCTTCCTTTTCTAATCTGCTTCATTTTTCAATATCTGTTGCTATTTTTTTCTAAATGCTCTAATGGATCTGTCAAACACATCTAAATAGTATTTTCAAATATCCAAACATGCCAAATAATCTGTCCGTTTTTCTGGAGATCTTTTTCCCACAGACCTCTCCTCCTGTTCCAGTCAGGACCGGTTGCTCTTTAAACATGGTTTGCAGATGTTATTCTAGGACTTCCCAGTGATGCTGTCCTGTATCTCTACTGTTTCGTGGATACTATGTCATCTATTGTTTCCACTGAATTGTTTTGGCATCCTTGTCAAAAATCAATTTACCATAAACGTCAAGGTCTATTTCTGAATCTTCAATTCTAATCCATTGATCTCTATGTCTATCCTAACTCATGGACATAGAGGGTAGAAGGATGGTTGCCACAGGCTGGGAGGGTACCGGGGAACTGGGGGAGTAGGTAGGTTAATCGGTACAAAAAAATGGAAAGAATGAATAACACCTACTACTTGATAGTGCAGCAGGGTGGTTATAGTCAATACTAACTGTATATGTTTAAATAACTTAGAGTGTAATAGGATTGTTTGCAACTCAATGGATAAATGTTTGAGGAGGTGGGTACCCTATTCTTCATGATGTGCCTGTTTTACGTTGCATGCCTGTACCAAAAACATCTGATTTACTCCATAAATATATACACCTACTATATATTCACAAAAATTAAAAATTATAAATAAATTATATGTCTATCCTCATGCTAGCACCACACTGCTTTACTGTTGCTTTGTAGTAAGCTTTGGAATCAAGAAGTATGAGTCTCCCTACTTTGTTATTTTCCAAGATTATTTTGGCTATTTGGGATCCTTGAGTTTCCATGCAAATTTTAGAATCAGTCTATCAATCTCTGCAAGGAAACCAGTCAGGGTTCTGCTGGGGACTGCATGGAATCTGTAGATCAGTTTGGGGATTATTGCCATCTTAACAATATTAGGTCTTCTGGTCCATGAACACAGAAAGCCTTTCCATTTATTTAGGTCATCTTTAATTATTCTAAATAATGTTTTGCATTTTTCAAAGTATACATTTTGCATTTCTTTTGTTAAATGTATTCCCATTTTATTCTTTTTGAAGGTATTATGTCTTAATTTCATCTCAGATTATTTACTGCTTTCATAGTGTGTTAGAGTCCGTATTCCCTCTTGACTGTCACTGTTACTTTTTCTGCTTTCAAAAGGTTTCTATCAGAATGTTGCAGATTACAGATGACTGACATATCAAACTGTCTAATATTACCAAACCTGTCCATTTACTCAGATCAGGGTCCTTCTGGCGATTTGCCATGCAGGAAGTCACAAGGAAGCCTAGTCTCTAAGGCTCAAAAGGTGAAACTATTTTATATAGGCAGTAGCATTTTATTGTTACATAATAACTGTACATATTTATGGAGTACCTGTGGTATTTTGATAAATGCATACTATGTGCAGTGATCAAATCAGAGTCTTTAGGGTATTCATCACTTCTAATGTTTATTATTTCTTTGTGTTTGGAACATTTCAAATCTTCTCTTCAAGCTTTCAGAAATATGCAATAAATTATTGTTAACAGTGCTACTGAACACTGGAACTTAGTCCGTCTATCGAAAGACAGTAGCATTTTAAGTATAGTCATAAGGTTACAGAAGGATAAAGTGTGTGCAGGGAAAATTCCCTGTAAGATAAGAAATCTCATTCCTCACTCTTAGTAATACAGATCTTCTCACTATGCTTCAGACATGCCAAGGATATTCCTCCCTCAGAGCTTCGAACATGCACGTCTGTGGTTATATTGCTCTCCCTGCGAATTGTTCAGGCCTTTGAACAAATGTTACTTTCTAAAAGAGGCTTGCCCTGACCACTCAGACTGAAACAGGACCTCTAGTACTCTGTATCTCCAACCCTAATTTTATTATCTTGGCCCTTATCACTCTCAGACTCTATACTGTGTACACCTTTGCTTGTTCATTGGTTATCCACCACCAATGAAAGTATAAAATCTGTGAGAGGGAGGGTCTTTGTTTGCCACTGTAAACCCAGTGAATGGTACAGTTCGTGATGCATAATCGGTGCTCAATAAATCCTTTGTCAAATGCATAAATATATTAGGTGCTAAGAAAATTCATTTATTCAAAGATCAATTTACTACATAGAATAGGCCAGAGGTTTGATATTTATTCAATAGGTCACTGAATCCCGGCCAGCATGTGGAACCTAGGATGTATATATGCAAGTGTGTGTGTGTGTGTGTGTGTGTGTGTGTGTACTTGGATGTAATGCAAAGAACATCTATGTAGCTAAGTAGTATAAAGCACTTGGGCTCCAGAGTTAAACTGGAGTTTGAATCCTCACTACTGGTCGCCAGCTGCACACCCTTTGATGCATCATTTAACCTAGTCTGTAGCGTTCAATTTCCTCATCTGTAAAATAGGGATTGTAATTATATCTCCTTCATAGAATTCTTGAAGTAAATATTAAATAACATAAAACATGAAAAGCATTTTGCAACACTTAGTTCATAGCAGTGCTTGATAAATGTTAGCTATTACTATTTGGGGGGCACTATGCATTTTCTGAACATTTCTGAACAATGTTTACTACATATATGTAGTACCCATTTTCAAGTATATTTAGATGCTTCTCTGGGGATGAAGAAGTATAAATTAAATATAGTACAGGATTCACAATAGTTTTCTGTCCTTTTTGTCTAGTCAGGAGTTACAAAAAGTATAATGAAATTCTCCTTTTTTTCTTTTTTTAATTGCATTTTAGGTTTTGGGGTACATGTGCAGAACATGCAAGATAGTTGCATAGGTACACACATGGCAGTGTGTTTTGCTGCCATCTTCCCCTTCACCCACATTTGGCATTTCTCCCCAGGCTATCCCTCCCCCCCTCCACCTACCACTGTCCCTCCCCTATTCCCCCCAGTAGACCCCATGTGTGTAGTACTCCCTTGCCTGTGTCCATGTGTTCTCATTTTTCATCACCCACTTATGAGTGAGACTATGTGGTATTTCATTTTCTGTTCTTGTGTCAGTTTGCTGAGAATGATGTTCTCCAGATTCATCCATGTCCCTACAAAGGACACGAACTCATCATTTCTGATTACTGCATAATATTCCATGGTGTATATGTGCCACATTTTCCCAATCCAGTCTATCATGGATGGGCATTTGGGTTGGTTCCAGGTCTTTGCTATTGTAAACAATG